ACAAAATAGTATTTTCGAATTTCGAGTCGAAACTTCGCACACATAAAGGTCTTAATGAGCGTAGTTTACAGAAAAAATTTCAGAATTTTTAGACGACATTTTTCCAAGATATGAAATTCTCAAAATTTACAAGATCGAATGGAAAAGTGCCAGTATTTTGAGAATTTCATATCTTAGGGAGACATTATCCAAAAGTTCTAAAGCTTTGTCTGCAAGCAAGCCTCATTAAGGCCTTTATGTGTGCGAAGTTTCGACTCGACATTCGAAAATATGATTTTGTTAGAAAAGTGGAGCCTCAAAAGGGTAATTTACTAAAAAATGGAATATCTCGATCCATAGTCACTATGGATACGTAATACTTGAAATTTGTTAGTTTGGCGGTGAGAAGAATAATATGATCTGAATATGATCAATCTTCTCGCGTACCAGTGGAGACAGTTCCATTGTAAGATACATATTATCAGAGGTCCCTTTTGCTTCTTCTTTTAGTTCAGTTTTATTTCGAATGACCCGACCCAAGATAGAGAGCATCGCGATGAGAGAAAAAAAGAATCAAAGAATGTAAACAAAGAGAACGAAAACAGAACAGAGACAAGAAGCGAATGCCAAAGGCGAACAGAGAGAAAACGGATAATAACAGCTGAAGCGATGTGAGGGTATGTGAACAACATGCCTGTAACACATATGTTATATAATGAACAATTTTATAGTTATTTTATTCGCTGAAGTATTTGACGCCACTGTTCGAATAAATATTGTTTTAAATTAGCATTGTATACTTTCATATTTAAACTAACTTGTGTCAGATTCGTGGTCGTTAATTTAATAACAAGTTCATCAGTTGAATTAAAGTAAATGATATGTGGCCATTGATAGAAATCAGAAAATTTCAACCAATAACGAATTGCATGTAGATCGAATTCGTTATTAGGATCAGGAATATTAGGATCCAAAACACCTGATACTATTGAAGCTTTTTTTTTCTTTCCAGATACACTATCCCAAGTTCGTTCATTCACAACACCATATGTATGATGCCATTCGGTAAGAAGATCAAGCGATGGAAAAAATAGTGGAATATTCATTCGATATTGTTCAAATAAACTCATAGCAGATACTTGATATGGAACATAAATAATGCCCGGGTGTTCAGCAAGTTGAGAATATTTATAATGACTTTTGTATACATCTCGTAAATGGGCAACAGCTACTGCTATCTTCAAATGTTTAAATGAATCAGTTAACATTGACATAAATTTCGAATGGAAATTCTTTTCATGTATAGGAGCAATAATAAAAGGCTTTCCAATTACTTGCTTATATGACGCGTTTGTATAAGCACATAATGATGGTAAAACAATTGCTTTAACACCAGTAAAATATCTTATATATTCTGCATCATACAGATTGTTACCAGCTATTACATTTCTAATTATAAAATGAATTAGAGAAAAGGTTGTTAGCGCAGTTCTTTTAGAACCGAAATATGGAATCTACATTGAATATTATACTAATAGAAAATACATCAAGCAAAAGACCTTTCGCAGACTTGGTCTGTCTTTCAAAATAGTCGATTGCCACAGAAATGATCTCTTTTATTTATTTCGAAACAGAAATTTATTTTTATTTTTATTTACTGACACCCTAGTTTTTGTTTGCATTGTTGCTATTCACTTGGTGTTTTTCATTTTCGTATTTTATAATTTAACATCATTATTATTCTAGGAATTGAATTCACTAACAAATAAGCTTATTATACATTTATAACAGATCTCAACGTACTATGCTATATCTCGGCAAGCTCACAAACACTGACATTGTGTATTTCACAAAGTTATGACTTGAACAATTCACGTTTCTTACGTTGATCATATGTTGACTGTGACAAATCAATGCATCGCTACTCATCATTCTTTACATATGGAATATAAATTCTCATCTGCACAAAAATAAAAAAATACACTATTTCGAACATTTGTGAACGCATTCCAATCATTCAGATGTCGACACAGGCTTTGGATTTGTTTAGAATAATTTAAGTCTTGTCGTCAATGTCATTCAGTGCCGTTTTCCATTGGTAAAGAACTCTAGGAAAGGAAGTATGATGTTATGGTGCTCGGTTCATAATGTGCGTAATAGGGGAGAGAGCATAAAAGCTCGACTCAAAATTTACACTCCCTACTTTTGCGAAATACTACCTGAAAGGAGTGTTGAATTATATTGGGTAGACATTTGAATTCACTTCCTTCCCTCCCTCCTCTCTCCTTCGCAGATCATGACAGACATTTTGAAAACTCATCACCGACCGTGATGGAAGCTACCTATGGATCATCGTAGACCATGGTGTAAGTGTTGATATACGAATTATAGATCGTATATCAATAACGACTTGTTATAAAATATTAACTATATTCTCATTGCATTTTGGGAGATTAAGCAAAATCACGATGAAGAAATATCTTTCAAAATATATATTGAATAAAACAGTCTTTCTGAGATTAGCATCAGTAGCTACACGTTGTTTCACATTTTAATCTCGCAAGAAGTGATCTAACTGCTTTTTGAAAATATAGGTGAGTTCCAAAAACGATATTTACTACTTGGGTTTTTAGTTTTGACCTTATAGTATGGAAAAGAAACAAAATGAAACAAGCATTCAAGGCTTTAAGATTGTTTGAGAAGTTCAATAAAACGAAGGTTTTAACTAGACATGGGCAAAATGTTCCCGATCTCGAAACAATATTTCATTTTCATATGGACTGAATCCAGCAGCGAGACTAAAACCAGGATGAAAACCAAACTTTTCCCCTCGAAATCAATTTCTATTTTTTGGTCGAAACCGAGACTGAGACCAGAGATGATTAGTCCCATTCATCACTAGTTCCAAACAATTGAAACAATTCCATAATTTATCATTTGGATACTTACCGAGAATTCGAAGCGATTACTTGAAGATTTTTGTTCCAATTTCTCCATTTTTCTTTAGAAAATCGTCCTAATTCGTAGCGAGTGGATGCAATAACGATTAATGTACGATTGAAGGGCATAAATACTTCACACATTGATGCGGGATGAAAACATATAAATGCATTGACGTGGTTCATTTCAAAATCATTCTTATAAACTTCATAAAATCGTTTTTGATCTTCTAAACTAGGATTCATTCGATTTTTAGAATTTAAAATCTTCAAATCTTTTGCACATGTTTTAGTTAAATGGCAATGACCTGATAGACTTTTGTCAATAAATTGAACATTGAATGATGAAAGTTGATGTTTGATATCATTTATTGGACTATTTAATATAAAGAAAAAAGTAAACCAAGAATACACATATATCAGATGTTATTGACACACTAGAGTACATGTGAGAGATGCACCTGGCGGTACGATACCTCTTTAACAATACGATTGAGGCAGCGACGCGGTATCGGTAGTGCTGTTGTTTTTAAGAGAATAATACAAATATTGCATGATTTCCTACCCGCTTTTAGTATCGACAAGTGTAAGAGAATGTGGCTGAGAAAATTTTATGGATTGGAACGGATGATTGCAGTTTAGTAGTATAGCAGTAAAATGTGAAACATTTTTCAATATCATTGAGAAAGTGACGGGGTTGAAACAATCTTTTTACAATTCGTTGCGCTGTGGCGGAGGAAGGTTTTGAGTACGGTGTGGCAACAATAGGTTTGCACTTATAATGGACGTCTCTCATGTATGGAGACATGTAACATCAAAAAATAGCCTTTTTAATTTGATTATATTGACAAAATTTTATTTAAGATTATCACAAAATAATCGAAAAGAAGAGAAGACGTTAAGAGGACAAATTTGTCTTTTCTCTCAAAATTCAATATTATCTTTGGCATTCCATTATTTTCGCGGTCACAGGCCTATTCCCATGAGATTTAGCTCATTTGAGACGTTCTATAATACATTACAAGCGATTTATGGTATCATCTTATCTCCATATGAAATATCCTAAACACTGCAAGAGGGAGGGAGTGCACTCTGATAGTATTTGTTACATGCATTCATTTTTATGTTTAATTGACTCGTATATCAAATTGAACTTCTTTAATTCCTCTATCGAATGATATATAAAGACATAAGAAAAGAATGCTCTACCACCTTTTGTTATATCGAAACTTCATTACTACTATATCCAATATAGTGATCCTTCAGACGGCCAATACATAAAATTTTTTCTTGGTAATAGCGGTCCATTCTGATTTGTATACCAATCGATAGATCTTAGCGAGATCTATCAAGTGATGCCAAAAAAATCAAAGAAAAAAAGTGGAAAATACTGACATGACACCGGAAAAAGAATCGTGTCAAAATATACCTGTAATTGCTTTTTAGGCTGTAGGGCGCTATCATGATATTTATAGACATAGACAGATCTCAATGGAAATTATGAAGCTAATATAATAGCGAGCGAGAAAAGTATCAAAGTGTGCATCTTAATGAAGGTGACCGCAGACTATGAATTTAGTGATTACTATCACGCGTTTGAAGCCAGCTTTCATATTTTTTCTGTTTTTCTTTTTAAGAACTAATGATCAATTCGATGTTTGATATCATTTGAAAAGTGTTGTTGAAATTATGTTACTACGGTGTAAATATTACCAAGACGAGATGAGCCCTTAAATGTTTCGGACGAAATATTTGGTATCGAATAGTGAGTATTAAAAAAAACCATTTTCTTCTTGGATTTTTTCTGTATAGCAAGCAGAATATCATAAAATACATGATACACTCTCCGATAAATAATGCCACCTTAGAGGTATGAAATCAAAAAGACAAACGTAAGTAAAAGAGCAAACTAGGATGTGGGTGTGGGTTAAAGTGAGTTGAATTGACTCCCACATCCATACCTTTTTGAAAATTAGAAAAAAAGTTATCTCACATTCACTTGTATAATTCAAAGATGACGGATCTTTCTCATGTTTTATAGCACTTTTCTTCTTTTATGATTGACATCTAAAACATTCCTAAACTTTATAAAGCTTTCGAAAGGCATACTTTGCTCGTTTTCGAAAAAATAATGTTTCAAAATTTATTTTGTATACACCGAATAGTTATTTTAAAACAATTCTCTCATATTTCAGATACAAAATGTATTGTTATTCTGCACCGGTATATTCGTTTCATTCAACAGAGGGTGTGGATGTGAGTGTAGGTGTGAGTGTGGATGTGGATTTTCTCTTAACTCCTCCACATCCACACCCACACTCACACCCTATTTTCTCATGAAATTCCAACAACAGTAAAAATTTGTACAAACTATTTGTAATAAGTAGATCTAATGAAAAATATATCTATCACATCTGAAATTTCGTTTGTTAGTAGAATTCAGTATAAAATGATTTTCATTACAGTTAACAATAATCAACAAAGCTCTCAAGAATAAAAAAAAACTAACGGGAGACTCTTAAATAATAGGACAATTTTATTCAATCTCTTTGAGGAGCAACACATTCCAAAGGTTTTATTCTAAGCTCATTTGATGGGAAATTTTTTGATATACAAAACTATCTAAATTTTTTTCTTGCTGGTGGAAAATTAAAAAGATTTAAGATTACTTAATTATTCAACTGCGATGGTGAAGAATGAAAAACATTATAAAATCGTTTTAATAGCAGTTTCACTGGAGTTGCAAATATGCTACAAGATTCCTCACAAAATTGTGCGTCTTTTGTTGTATATTTCAAAGTTTTAGAGGAAAAATTATTGAAATAAAAAGCGTGAAAAGATTTTTCTGGAAGGCCTATGCCATTGTTCTTTTTTACTTCACAACAATCTAAACGGCTTTTGTTGTTCAATTTAGCAGTTATACCATTTTGTTCAGAATTAAATTTTACATCTGACAGCAAAACAATAAACCTTTCATGGGCCAAGTTTAGCGTTTGAAAGCATGACCTTTCAAAGTATATTCGAAAATACTATCATATGTTAGTTTCGAGCCTTTTCTCCTGAATAAAAGCAACAAGAGCTTCGAAAAGAGCATGGATAGATGCGTAGCCAAAATTTTTTGGAAAGAGATCAAAATTTTCTATGTTCAAGAGTGTTTCGAGTGGCAGAAAGATCGGCGGTGCAGAGTTCTTAAAGTGGACTCCGACGTCACCGGGTCCAGATCCAAAAATTCTTGGACCTGACGGGTTCTAGGCAGGAATGAGCTCACTCTTTTGAAAAATTATCTTTTTCCTCAACAAATTTCTAGTGTTTTATTCATTTTTTTTCTCACCAGCTATCAAAAAATCTTTCGACCGTCCCCCATAGAATCCGGTAAATTTTAGCAATAGTCTTCAAATAGGTATCCCGAGTTATCGAACCACCTGTCAATTAGCAACCTCGAGACACCCATGATCATGAGAGACCTCCTTTTTTACTCATTTCTGATGAAAATTTGCAAAAAAAATTACATTAACACTTATACGCAAATCGCAAAATAAAAAACATAACCATGGTGGTGTGGGTCTGCATAAATTTGACATTAACTATATAAAACAAAGAGTAGGTACAGACGCCGCTTGTGTTAATCGATTAGCACAAATGTTATATCAAGCACTCAGTTAATGAGAAAATTTTTGAACTGCAAAGAACATCTTTGCATATTGTAAAGGAATTGTTTTTGTTGGAGATTGATCGTCCCCAATTCCCTTTTTAAATACGTCTCTGAGCATGAATACAAGTATCCCGTTCTTTATGGACCTCCATTATAAACAGAATAAGTAGAATATAATCAAACATACCTTATGTGGAAATCGTTACTCCAAATAGTTATCTTGTTTACTGGCAAAATCTTTGGCTTTTTTGATAGATTTATCATTGATACAAGGTATCCCATATAAGAAAGAACAATGATAAACATTAGAATCGCGTTAAATCGACTAAGTGGAATACGAAGCATTTTGTAAGACGATTCACCGAAATATTTGATTTACTTGAAAATGAAAAGATCTTTTAATATATGTTTATCTAAAAAATATTTCAGAATATACAATATATCTATGCCATTTCATTATGTTGATGTTAATTCTAAAGACTCTAATATTTCTAGCAATGAAATTCTTTTTGAAGTGCTTTCTTCAGGAGAGTAGTGTGCAAATTTGTACTTGGCTAATGTTTGTATTTTTTTTGTTACTTTCTTTCAGCGATTATCCGAGATGAGGCTTAAA